ATTTATAGTAATGTTTTCCTAATGGTTGTATTAATTCCATATCAGACTTGCACGTGAAAATGAGAACCATTTTATAGGGTAATATGGTCACAACCCCAGTATAGATGTTTCCCTAATTCTTATTAAGCTGTTCAAGCTGTTCTACTTTGCATAAAGAAAACACATACTGGGCCAGAGGGAAACTGAAATGACACAGTTGGGCTAGGGCCATTCCCTTGAGATCTGAGACCCAGGCGGAGGTCCCTCCTCTACCTGATTCTAAGTTCCCACATCCTAGTATAAAGTTATTTAAACAAATAATATGCTGACATAAAAATCAATGTACCAGTTTTAACCTGATCATTACTTACTCTACAAAAGCAGAAAACAGAAGAGTATTTAAAAAAAATTAAAATAGTAGTTAGTATAGAGGTTTAATTACCATATGTACTTAGGGTTGAAACAAAGGTTTTCCCCTCCATCTTACAGTCACATATAAGCCCTTCATATTATATTCTCATACCAGCACACACATGCATAAATTGAGCAGTGCTAGACTGTGGGGTTACCCTGGCTTGAAACACTGTTGCCTCTGCTGGGGACCAGCTCAATGAACTATATGACAAGCCATGAGCCTTTTCGCTCTGGACTAGTATCATGCATAGTGGACACATCTACATGAGATGCTACATTGCTGCAGCAACACACCATGGAGACGTAGTGACTATGGGTATCTACATGTGACCAGCAGCTACTTTGCCATAGCGGTGCACTCCCCCATTATAGCACACCACTACGGCGAAGTAGCTGCTAAAAATGAGCATGCACCATGCATACAGTGTAGTATGGGCGGTTATTGTGCCATGCTTCGATATTTGTACATTTCCTATAGATGGAATCTAATGGGGGGGGAGGGGTTATCTTATATTCAGGATTGTCTTATACTTGAGAAAATACGACAACTCAGAATTTTTTTTACCATTGTTTCTTTGACAAATACTTCTCTGAGTTTCTCTGTAACTGGACCAACTATAGTTGGGAAAGATATCAGACAACCCTTTGGGCAATAAGTGCCTCTCCTACCACGAAAAAAGGATACTTTAGGCCCGAAAGCTTGTTTAACATCTCTCCCAACTATATTTAGTTCAAGAAAAAATATCACCAAAAAATATTCACCTCTTATATTTCCTGAACCACTGTGGCTATTACAACACTCCAATGCAACTCAAAAATATAAGAGCGATTTTGTATAAACAATTTCACAATATTTAGTAAAAAGATTATATTGTCTAAAAATTGGGGGGGAGGGGGTTCTATTTAATTTTGACAAAGTTTTTCCTTCTTTGGCATTCAAGACCTTAACCAATACATGAAACAAAATTAAAACCTACAGAATTTCCTAAAGTTGATCCTTGACCCCCTTTGCCTCAGTGCAGTGCAATAATTAATTATAAGCTAAAATGTTATAATTATGAGAACTCATAGAAGGATGTAATAATGTATTTAGTCTCAGGACTTGAGTAAACAATTATGGCAATAAAACACTTCAGTGGAGCTGCAGTACATGTTCTGTCCCTGAAAAAAATCCTACCTTTATTTAGGTTTCTAATGAACTATTACAATTTGAAAGCTTTAACAACATTAACCTTAAACTTAAGAGAAAATGGTATCAAGTTGAAAACAAGAACGTTGTATTGAAAAGTTTAAGGCTCCTGAAGGAGAGGAAAATTTCACTTTACACCCCACTGTCACTGTGTAACTATAACTATACAATGAATCCCAAAATAATGCATCAACAGTGACATCTAGTGGCTTTCATAATACCAAAACAATATAATAGTTGAACTAGTATTTTAGAGCAGTGATTCTCAATCTTTTTAGACTTGAAATACCCATTGAAAAATGCCAGCTCTTGGTTTTCACTACTTTTTCTGATTACAGAAAAATAATACTGAAACTCTTCTGTTGCAAATAACTTGGAAAGACCACAACAGATCAGAGTACTGCTAATCCTACAGAGTCTTATTTGAAATCTCTGGCTGCAGCCACACGTGGTGTGGATGTTTGATTCCCCAGGGACAACTAGCAGTGAGGCACCTTGTGCCGCTGCTAGTTGTCCCCGAGGAACACCAATGCCATGCATGTTCTGATGTGTGGCAAGTTACCCCAGGTGGGGTAGTGTAGGCTGGCTCCAGCAGCCTTACCTGGGGTCCTGGGGGCCTCCCAGGGCTGCAGAAGCGATGATTCTGCTGCACAAAGCCTGGCCAGCAGCCACAGTGCGGCTCTGGCTGGCCCAGCTCCAGTTTTGAGCAGCACGTGCTGCCCATGTATGTGGTGCTCCTCTTTTTTCTGTGGGTTCTTCTGACCCCTGGATATTCAGGGATCAAAAAAACCCTCTACACTGCTCCACAGCAGCACAGAGAACAACTGAACATACAGTATGTGGCGCCACAGATGCATCTGCAGTGCCACATACCACACAGCTGTGGTTGTCTGGACACAGCCTCTGGGTCTATCATGTGAATCATGTTTGCACACCTAGTAGTGCTAAAATGGAGTTGTACCCAGAAGCACCCTTGAAAGGATCTCAAAGTACCCCAGGATGCCGCAACACCCTGGTTGAGAATCACTGTTTGAGAGAAATAGTTAGCTGCATTATTCTGAAGTCAAGCAGACTTATGCCTCTCTGAACTAGTTGGTCTCTAGGGTGTTATCCTGCCCTGCCTATATTATCATCATTTTAAACAGTAGTTCCATACGCACAATAATGAACAGACTGAAACATTACCAATAAGCTAATGAAATAAACCATTTATAATTTTCCTCAACAAACATCTTCATGTGCAGATGTGGCCATAAACCTGAAATCAAATCACTTAAAAGTAGATGTGCACCAATACATCGGTCCATATCGTATAGGCACGGATAAAAGGAAAACTAACATTACTGACAATCAGCTATTTTGGTTAACGTGGCTGATAATGTCATCAATAAATGTTGCGTGCAGCCACAGCATGAACACGGACAGCCTGGCAGCCTGGACAGCAGTGTCCAGTTGGTAAGTCTGTTGGAGGGAAGGGGGTGGGGAGAAGGTAGATCGAGGCCCCCACAGAGAGGGAGGCAGTGGGGCTGGTGTAGGTGCTACCCAGCCAGGGCGGGGCATGAGACAGAACCACAAATGGCTCAACCAGGGGCCATAGGAAGAGGGGCTGTCGGCTCCCCAGCTACACAAACCCCGGGGGAGGCATGGGGGTGTGTGCCCCCTGAATCTGAGCGTGGGGTGAAGGTCGGCTGCCGCTGTGGGCTGGGGTCAGGGGAAGAGCTGAGCTGCTCCCAGCGGGGGCTTGGGATGGGGCTGTGCTCGGGGCAGGCGGCAACAGCTCTGGGAGGGCGGGCCACAGCAAATTTTGGGGTGGCCATAGCCCGCCCTATAGCCCCCCTTCCCAGCAGACCTGCCCCCCCCCACCAGGAAGAACCACCACGCCTCCCCCGGACCCAGTGGCAGCGCACCCTCACCCCATGCGTACATCCAGGATGCACACATCCCCCATGTCTCCCCTGGAGGTGTGTGCTGTGGTGGGAGCCATCCCCCTCTTCCAATGCCCTCTGGACAGCCGCTTGCAGCTCCATCCCATGACCCACCCTGGCTGTGCATTGCCTACCCATGCCCTAGCCTTACTCCCTTCCTCACCATGGGGTCCCCAATCTTCTACCCCTACCCCAACAGACTTACCAGCTGGACACCGCTCTCCAAGCTGCCGGGCTGCATATCACCGATCGGATTGGTATCACCCAATATGGCTCATTAATAAATCGGCCATCGGTATCAGCCCAAAAAATACCTGTGAACCCCTACTTAAAAGTAATTTCAAGACTACCATTAATTCCAGCTGTATCCCTTTCCTACCCCCAAATTTTTGTTGCTGTTCACTCATTTTCCAAAAGCTATTTTTCCCTTTTTCCTTTATATGTAGGATAAATAAATTGGCTATAAAAGGAAAACTGATTACACATAATGTCCTGATAAAGAAACAATATATTAGAGAAAAATATGTTCAACAGTAATCACAATTAGTTAGTAATTTCTAGGTCTATCATGTTAGGATTCTGGGTCTAGTTCTGACTGTTCCTGCAGTGATTTTTTTTATAATTTCTCAGTTTATTTGCTTCTAAAAAACAGTACACAGCTCATCTTGACTGCCTTGTGGATTGAGGGAGCTATGGCCTCGTCAGAGATGCATGGAAACATAAGCTACTCGACATCTGAGGCAACATCTGAACTCACAGTCTCCTTTCTCCCCTACTTGATATCTTTCCCACTCCCTCCTAAAAAAGTACATACATATTTTTTTGGGATGAAAATATTTGTATTTGAGGATAACAACCAATGATATTTACTCTATTTGGTATCAAATTCCTATTATTGCAGAACAGCAGGAAAAAATGAAATAACAGTAACTGCAATCAACAACTATGTCATTATTCTCTAACTGTTATAAGGTTACTATACCAGGATAAGAATACCTATAGTTTACCGTATCATACAAGACGTAAGGGTTTTACTACAACCAGCCAGGGAAGTCACAACAATTGATCTAAGCCGACAAGAGGCTGAGGAGTTATTTAAAAAAAAATGAGTAAGAGCAATGCCTTGTGGGTTCAGGTATTCTATAAGCGAGACCAGGTTCTCAACTTCCTGAAAATCCAGGATGGTCCTAAGTGGCTCAGACAATATAGACCTCCCATTAAATTTTTTGGGAAGTGCAGGTGCTAAGCAATCAGGCTTTGAGACTTAGGCTCTGTCTGCGATGCAACCCTGGAATTTAGAAATAGTGCTTATTGCTTAAGCTGTTGGATCAAAAACACCAACTGCTAATTCTTGACCAAACAGTTTAAACAAATTGAAATATTTTTGTAATATTATGCTTCAGATACATCTATTAAAGCAAGAAACATTTTCAAATTGTTCTTGGCTAAGGCAATGTTTTGGAAAAGTAAAGCTAATATCAGATGGAGCTTACCTGTTTTTTTTGGAATTTTCATCCTTCCCTCTTTTGACTCCAAAAATTCTTGTAATCAGGGCACTAAAAAGAAGTGTAGAGGAATTTCTTACCTAATACATAAAGAAATATGGGATAGGAATTAAGAAGCTTCCAAACAGCTCTTCAAATTTGTTTCTGTTAGCAACTTTAAAACCTAACAATACAGTATTTTATACTTCTGAACAGACAGATCTGCTAACCTAGTACTGCATCTTTCTTGATGCAAAAGCATCAGAGGAAGCTGAAAACCACAGTCTACAGTATTCAACTTGAAAAGACAAGCAGTTTAATAGAGATCAATGTATCACCCAAACGATGGTGTGGCTTACTAGTTAAAATTTGGGCCTGGGAGGCATAAATCTGAGATCCATACTTAATCTTTCCAATCTTCCTGTGTAATGTGCCCCAATTTCCTTATCTTTAAAATGTGTACAAGGATGCCCTTTGGTGCCTGTCCAATTTCCTTAAGGCAGGCACCCTCACCAACTTGACCCAATAGTATGAGCCTCCACCATATCACATGGATTTTACTCTAATTGGGCACCCTTCATTCTTGCTGCTGCCATTATATAGGCCAAATTCATAGCTCAGGTTTTGGGGTTTTTTTCCGAGAGCCTCAATAATTGGCAACAGGCAGAGGGTGCAGGAAAGGACAGCAGGCAATAAATGCCCAGAGGTATGGCTACTCTGCATGTGGAATAGCAGCACGCCACAGATATAGGTCAACTAGCTAAGGGACCGAAGCAAGTAGCTGCTCATTTATACAGCTCAGAAGTTATTCTGCTTCTCTATCAACTTGGGAATCAGCAGGATAACTTAGCCTGCACAGGCTTTCATACTACCATGGCTAGCCTCCTTCCAGTACACTGCAGAATAGCATGCAATGTAAGCATCTCCTATAGCTGACAAATTCTCTCCACCCCACGAGGTAAGAGACCTTTTCTTCCTCTCTCCCCAGAATGTGGTAAAAGGAGCTGTGTCACTATGTTTTTTGCCTCTGAAGGAGCCTCTTTACAACTGAGGCCATGAAAGGACGAGTACTACTAAAATTCTTCTTCCTTCCCCTGCAGAACAATGCCATTTCTTCATTCCGTGAGGCAAAATATAATTTTTCAAGTTCTACCTTGTGCAAAGAAAGGAAATTGTTGTTTGCAGCATGGGACAGGGAGGCAATGTTAACGCTATACTGGATCTCATTCTGCTCAGGGACAGGCATTAGACAGAAATAATGTGCCTGTGAAGACCAGAGGAACACTCATCAGAAATCTAATCAGTTTCCAGTAGTCTGACATTTCATTCACTGGAATTCAGAGCTTTCGAAATTTCCAAAATGCTGGGACCATCAGAGCTGATCTTGCTTATGGGCAAAGAATATCAAACTCATCATTCAGATGAAAACATTAAGAGGATAAGGCTTTCTGGAATATTTAAGTTGAGTGTGCTGGAAATACCTATCATTGAGGACAAAGTGAAAATATAAAACAGGTTTTCCATTGCTTTACAACATTTATTTTCAACTATGGAAGATCATAAAACACTGGACCGTAAGAATCACATTCTGATTAACATATTGCAATGAGACCATAACCAATGACCACAAACAGTGTAATTGGATTCTTACTAACATAACAAATATGAATCAAAATTTATCAGACAATCAGATACTTTTCTCTTTCGGAAGAGAATGTACTTTTGCTACTCTTAAATTAGCAAGAAATTGCAGTATAGCAAGCCAAAATTGTATTGATATAGCAAAATACTGAGGCCCAAATTGAATTTTCTGAATTTTTCCTCCAACGGCTGAAGGCACAAGAATGGGAAATACCATATATTTGATATGTAGCTGTGAAAGTTCAAATTCCAGTAGCTACGATACTATTGCTTAGAGATATTAGTAATGTTCTAATTAGCACCACCACATGCCTCTTTCACTCAATTAAAATGCATTAGGTATAAACTTACTGCCCAGACAGGAGATGTAAAACCAAGAATTGCTGCTTGTATTCCATCTGCTACATAAGGTATGACGTTTTCACCTAAGCGGGTATCCCTAAACAACGCCCTCAGGATATTTAAAGCATGAACCTGGAGGAACAGAATATAAATGTTAGCTGTTCTGTAACATGCCACTTGGAGGGAAAAGTCCTCAACTTGTGTAATTTAACCACATCAGTAGAGACGAAGTGAAAACCTTACATATACAGTAAAATCTCCGCTATCTGGCATTTAGCTAACTGGAAATTCCATTAATTGGAATTTCCGGCTGACCAGCCAGACACAGACAGACGCAGCGGGGGAAAGACTGCATGCAGCAGTGGTCACCACCACTCACCACTCTACGCTGCCCCGAGTTGCCATCTGGGGAGGGAGGGGAGGGCGAGAGGGCTGATCTAGCAGCCTCCTGGGCCAGAGCAGGCAGGCCCCAAGCCCTGCCCCCTGCCCTCCCCAGCAGGTGAACGCTTGTTGGGTTCAATGGAGCTCTAAACTTTACTTTGTGTAAAGTACCATAGTTAGAGCTCCTCCCCGACAGGCTTCCTAAACTTCTGTATGCAGTCACAGATGCTGGATTTGCTGCTCTTAAAATGACCCAAACAGATGCCTATCCAACCTCTTCTTAAAACCTCAAAGAATATTCCATAATTTCCATAACTTCCCTAGGCAGCTTGTTCTTGTATCCTAGTGCTCTTTGGGGCAGAGCACCTTTGGGTGCCTGCCACTTCAAGGGGCTTGAGCAAGCTGTGGAGCAGCTGACCGGTGCAGTAGCCCCAATTAGGCAGCCACATGACTGCAGAGGGCCCCGGATTAGAGGAGGGCTGGGCAGCCTCAGTATAAGCCCAGGCTCAAGAAGCTGGGCCAGCAGTTACACCTAGGGAGGTTGGATGATCACCTGTCTGGGGTCTTGTGAACCCAGCATTCATTCCTGCCTATGGCAGGGGGTCAGGCTAGATGATCTGTTCAGGTCCCTCCTGACCCTAGCTACTATGAAATTATCACTCACCCTGCAGCTCCCAGAACACTGAGAGGTCAGGGTAGGAAGTATGAGGATGGAGGAGGTTCCGGGTCCTAGGGCATGACCTGAAACTGCACCCTGCTGGGGCTGGATGGTGTAGTGGGGCTGCTGGTGGCAGGGCAGTCTCCAGGAAATGCCACACCTCTGCCTCCCCAATGAAAGGTGAGGGTGGGGTGCAATATACCCTCAGCCCCCACTGCCTTGTGGGTACCCCATGGAGGGGAAGGGCTAGGGGAGCACACCCCAGCAGAAAAGCACAGGGCCCAGGTCCACCTGAGTGGACAAGATCAGCCTGGTATGGAATAGAAAGTCAGAAGCTGAATGGAGTACGGTCTGTAGGGGCCTGAAGGACTTCACGCATGCCGGCCAGAGTAGTGACCCCAGTGAGGAAGGCAGAGAGGCCAAGGTGTGTCTGAGGACACCTGAGACCAAATGTGAGCCAGAGGCCAAATATGGGCCAACTAAGGGGCCGGCGGAGTTGGAAGTGATTTTGGATGCCATCTGCAAGGCATGGGACACTGCAAGGGGAGGTTTGGAGCAGTGTATTTGGCCCTTGGAATCAGGCTAATAAAATGGGCTGCCTCCCGCATTTTCCATCTTTTTTGATACATCAAGGCGAGGCAGAGCAAACTGCCCTAGACAGGCAGGAGGACTGATGTCATGACCGGTTTTGAGATGGCCCCGTCACACTCTTAAATTCAACATTTTTTCTTAAGATTTGATCTAAATCTGCCATCTCTGGCAAAGGAAAACAATTTTTTTCCATCTTGTACAAACTTGGTTTCTATTCCAAGTGGGAGATCACTTGGTAAAATTTTACCACTCACATTTATTCAGTAATATTAGAGGCAATAATCTAACAACAAAACCTATAATTAAAAGGAATTTGAATATTTTCACTACACTTGAAGAGGCACTGAAGGGAGAATACAATGTCAGCTATATGCAAGACTGGGTGCATCTGCACATGCAATTAACACAAAGTGATAAACTCCAGAGCATCTGAACTGCAATACACTGCTCCTGAGTGCAGCATCTACACATGCAACAACTGGAACCAGGGTGAAGCAGGTCCAAGCTGGCAGCACGCTGAGGGAGTCAGCCCTGGGCTCCAGGTGGCAGCAGGGGGCAGCGGAGGGGCTTGACTGGGGCATGACAGTGCCAAAAGCGCAGTCATGTAGCTAGGCAGCACGCAGGAGTCTGGCCCCCTGCTGCCTGGACTACCTGGGTGCGTTTTACACCTGTGGTCACCGTCCACACATGCATTTCATTCCAGTTAATCACTCCACTGTAAGACAGTATTGTCCCTGACAGCACTATCTTGTAATGGAGTTAATTAATTTACTGTGTCCTAATACTGGCACACATGTAGACAGAGATGCTTTACTGTGAAGCTAATTGGTCTACTCCACAGTAAAGTGCATTTATAGATGCACCCACTATTTATCAAAACACTTCTCATACATTTACATCTAGTCCAAAGACTACAAACTTTCTAAATGAATAATGTCTTAAAACCGCCTATTAATAATAAAAATGAATTACAGCTACTTTGAAAAAGATGAGGATTGATTTGAACTGAACTGCTTGAAAAAAGGAGTATTTACTTCTCACCTGTGGGATTGTACTTGTCGAATCATTCAAGGGAATAGCCAAAGATATCAACTCTTTCATTGTAATTTTCAGCAAGTTTGTCGTACTCTTTTTTGGTTCTGAAGCCAACAACGCCTAAGGAAAAGGGTTAAAAACAAATTACTACATATTCTAGACGCATTCTTTTACAGTTTTATTTCAGCATCCATGTCTTTTTTTTTCCTACCTAATATGTTAACACAGCCTCTAGTGACTGAAAAGCACCTTGGGAAATTTGCACAAGAGGTTCAGTTGTAACCGTTTTGCTGTACTCCAAATTTTCTGAACCACTCATGGCTTTTGAATGAAATTTTTTGCATTTTTCCTACACAGGTGAATTTTCCTGAGACATCTCAGCAATATCCCTTCACCAATTTTCAAGTTGAGTAAAATAAAAACTTACATTTTCCCCCATTATATAAGAATGAACTAATATTTTTTCAAAAACTAATTTACTATAGCAAAAACACCTGTTGTATTAAGTATACACGTACTTCACATTCTGGACAAATGCCTTAGATACAAAACTTATTTTACACATACACACACACAGACACACATGATTTGCTAGTTTATGGACTAGGGAAAAAACAACAAAAATTTCATTCTGCAAACACTGGAGAATCAAAAACAGTTTTCATTCTAAGGCAGGATAAAATCAGACTTTCTTTATGAAAAAAGACAAAAGACACACTTTCTAGAATAGCAAACAGTCTAGTGTTTATCTTATGTTAAAACACTCACCTGGGGCTAGGAGAAATTCAAGCAGAATCTCCGCTCTGCCTAATTCAGGGTTACAGAGGCAGTCTCCCTCCCTCTAACAATCTGTCCTATTTTTGACAGTTGACAGCATATAGGCCAGAGACTTCCTTCACATGTCAGAAATCCAGATTAGGAACAGGGAGTTGAGCATGCATGTCTTGCATACTGAGAGGTACCTTAAGTGTCAGGAGATTAGGTAGACCGAGGTGGGAAGAGAGTGAGACCTTGCCCCAGAACTGCTAATGTCCTTGATCTGTTTTCCATTAAAATCAATCCATTCAATGCAACATTTGTATTATGGCGTAAGGGCCTTTTTCACTAAAACAAGATTGTACTAAAATGTTTTCATCTAGTTCTAAGTACAACCATTTGTAAATTGTCAATCTCTGAGGGATGGGACTCTTCGAGCCCACTCAGCCAATCAGAGGCATGGGAGGCCCTCCAGCCACAGACTGACAGGGCCCTGATATCAGCTATTAGATATAATGCCAAAAAGCCCCACTGAGATGCCCAATCTATACAGGGCAAACTGGGTCAAACTGATGCAATGCATCATCTGAGTATAAATTGTGCTCAAAGTGGGGGCGCACCAAGTTGAAAGTAAAGTGCTAGGGTTTGGGGTTGTTTTGTCTTGGGGGTTTTTTGGTGGGGGGGTTTCACGTCTGAAAGCCGCCACTGAGTCAAGGGAAGAAACAAGAATGATGAGAGGTTCAGAAACTATGACCTAAGAAATGGCTGAAGGAATTGGTTTATTTAATCTGGTAGAAAGAGGATTTAGGGGATCTATGGTCTTCCAATATGACAGTTTTTCCGGTTTTCTTGCTCACGACAACTGTTCTCATTGCAATGAAGGAAAAGAAGAAATCAGCTTGAACAGGTTACCTATGAAGGCTGTGAAATTTTCACTAGAGGTTTTTAAAAACACATTAAGGGCTGGCCTAAGTACACTTGATCCTGCCTCAGTACAGAAGACTGGTGTAGCTTATGTCTTGATATCCCTTTCAGTTCTACACTTTTATTTCATAACTGACACTTCAGAGCCATATCCACATTTTTAACAAGTAAAATAAGCAGCTATGTGCTATCAGAGACATACTTACAGTGTCTGAAATGAAACAAAGTTACATGTTTTCCAGGATTTGAACCAACAAAACTCATGTGCTTCATCCTCCAAAACACCAGTCATAAGATCCATCTTTCAGGCCAAACTTCTGTTCTGACCCATACTTCAGGCAATCCCAGTTGATGGGCCTGCATAAATATAAGCTATTCCAAAATATGGCCTCTCAACTGTACCAAAGTTGACAAAGTCCCCAGAAGCGGTATAAATTTGACCAAAAATAGGCAAAAATCATTAAAGAGCAAGCATACCACACACACTATACTTACCAATATCTTATATGAGTTTATATATTTCAGACAGAAGCAGCAATAATAAAGGAAATTGCTAACTCTAGTAGGTACCTGTACGTAAAATGGAATTCCAGCACTGCGCCTAGTGGCACATAGCTTAGATGAAGGATCACAAGATTTTATTTCTTCCAAAACACTGCACAACCATTGCTCTGGCAACCTCTGTAGACTCTCATTGTTACATCTGCATGACAAAAATAAGAATGGATAAGTAGCTAGGATAGAGAAAATCAAAACAGAAATATATATTAGACATGCACAAACTGATATACTAAAATGTATACAGCAGATGTGTACTTCATAGGATCATAGGAAAGTAAGGCTGGAAGGGACCTCCCAAAGTCATCTAATCCAGCCCCCTGCTCAAAATAGGGTCATCCCCAACCAAGCCATCCAAGCCTATTATTGAAGCTTCATTTATTTTAGTTTTAAAACTGGATATCTCCCAAGGTTGGCACAAGTCATATCAAACCCACACAAGGTGTCACAAGAAAAAGTGTTTTTGGTGAAAAAGGAAAAACTCTATTGTCTTCATAACAATGCAGCTTAGTCCCCTTCCCTCAGAAAGGTGTGCACAGATCCCAGTCAAGACAATGAAAGGGTGGTGAAGACTGGAGCCACTGAAACAGATCTGCTATTCAGTACTGTATACCTGGCATTTAACAACAAGCAGCCTGGGACATTTCTTGACAGGACGGGGGCACTGAAAGAAGTGCTGCAAAGAAACTCCAAAAACTCAGATGGGAAACAAAGAAGGGAAGAGGAGCTCCAGTACAATTTCAGAAGATGCAGGACGTATTCCCTTGTACAGATGCAGCTACGTGGCCCTGCCCCTCTTCTGCTGGTGGTATGAGTAATAACTACCTAAAATAGCTTGTGCATATGTGAAAAGTACAGATGAACCTTGTGCAAATCCTTAGGGTAGAAGACCATATGTAAACCTTCTCTCCATACACTGTAGCTGTGTACTGCCAGCCAGATCTGTTCCCTAGCTTTGGTCAGATTTTGCTATTTGATAAGACTTTATATAATGTGTTAATTAAACCAACTCAGAAAAAATATACCAAAGCACAATAGGGCTAACACTGCTAACACACACAGTGCCTTCTGTTCCACGTAAACTTCCAAACTATGAGACTTCAAAAACCCCAAATTAAACAGCAGAAAAAACAGTTCAGTTAAGGTCTTCCCGTACATCTCTGAAATAAATCAGTGTTTCAAGGAAAAAAACAAAACATTGTGAAAGCAGGAAATGCAGGGTTAAGATACTACTTCGCATAATATGCCTCTGACTCTGCTCCCAAGAGGACACTGATAACTTGCTGCATGGTTCTTTCGGAAGTTGGATGCATTTGTTTAAACAACAGGAAACATATAGGAAATGTCATACTGAACACACAAGTTTTTAACAGTATTTTTTCAGCTAAAAACAAAAAGGAGAGCCAATTCATCATGTCCATCAGGATCTCTATCAGTATTTTTCTTTGTACCAACACTGCTCTTTACCAAACTGAAGGTACTTCTAGACCGTGTGGAAAAGAATCCCGATTTGGGCATGTTTGTTTGTGTGCTTTGGTTTTGGTCTTTTTTTACCCTCAGAAACATTAATATTCTTCTTGCATATGAAAGACTTCAAGTAAATATAATCAGATTTTCCAATGCCTAGAGTTGACCTTGTCTCACAATCTGCACAGCTATAAGTGCCAAAGTCACCACTGCATGATTATAACCATAATATCTGTTCTACAAATAAACTGTTTAGAAAGAACCCATGCAAGCATGCAAATGAATCAGGCTGAAAAATGGTCCTCACATTTGCATATGAACAGATTGGGTTTCCTCTCTTACCACTAGCACATCTAGTCTCAGAAGGCATGACCTGATGTTCCTTTCACCCTTCAAAAATTGTGCCGGATTATTCTTGACAATGGCTGCCTGGAAACAACTACACTATGAAACTTAGCATTTCCATATCAACAATAGAATGAACCGCAATACCTGCAGACAATAAAAAATATACCACACCTAGTACAACTGGTCATAGACCCATGTCAAACCCAAATACCCCAAAGTAAAGCCAGAGAAAATTTACGATGGCCTGGAATACAAATTTATGTCTCCTGAATTTCAGCTATTTTTATTAATGCAGTTTCTGTTTTCATCTAGTGCACATACATCACATCATGGATCTACTATATAGACAGCATTACCTGCTATATAGATTTGACCCTGTTCCTCTGAGAGGCAGAAGAGGTAAGTTCTACTATATAAGGAACATGAGTTCCGTTCTTTGTTCTAGGAGAAGTGAATTTGTGTAAAGTTTGCCCTGCCCTCACCTAACCATGTTTGCGCGTTAGAAATTCCATAATAGAGACCTTTCTTGCGCCCTGTTCCCTCTCAACAAGTCAGCATCAAGATTTCAACATAGGACCTTCAGAGCCAGGCCACAATCTTCCAATGCATGAAGCAATGTTTTGCAAGTAGGTTGCACAACTACCTGCTATACAGCAACAGAATGGAGGGAAAGAAGACTCCTTGTTTCTATTCCTGGCCTGGAAAAGAAATGTCAAGCAGATCTTAAGAGACATGGTTACAGAAAGGATAAACAAGCACAGGAATTTAGAAGGTTTTTTTTTAAAGTAGCACAGCAGAGTGACTTGGGTTCTAAACCCAGCTCTATTTATCTGTAAAACAGGAGTATGATGTTTGCATAAATGAGCGCATAAAATAGTAGGTGATGAAAGATGCACCGTATTAATGGTCCAGTCAGTCAGTAGCATATTTAGCAGTGGAGGTGGATTTCTCCCTCCCTTCTCAAAATCTACTACTCATGGCATGGCAGTGGTATTCCACGTGCATAAACAAATGTATCCTAAAAATAGACACAAAAATCTACTGACTTTGTAATTATTAATAAACTATTAAGAGTTTATTAGGTAATTATTATTAGGTTGTGAGCAACCAGATAAGAGCTGTTATCAAGCCAGTTCAAGGCTATGTGTTTCATGTCAATAATGCCACAGATTTTTTCCTTATTTCTTTTTTTTAATCTACATAACAAAGATGATTTTTTAAAAACTGGTTGCTTGAGGACAAGAACTCTCTTAACAGGAAGCACTGGATCGAAGGACCCTGGATTTGCATCATAAAGCTACCAGCTCATCCGTTTCAAGTAACTTAACTACTCAAACACCTCTAAAATCTACATTCCAAAAAAATCAACTTTAAACAAAAAATGCATAACTACCTTCTGTTTCATCAGACAGTCATTGGAACATTAATGGTTTTCTATTGGTATGATTTATACTCTGCATTTAAAGAATAATGCCACAGTAATGAGCATCTAAAACCAAAAGGGGCAAGATACTACACAAACTCATGAGAAACTCTGCACAATGTAAATAAAGTGCTTTTTAGTTTGAAAAAACAAAAGTGAATTGGCTACACAGGAGACTCTCCTTTAAAAGGCAAAATCAGCCAAAATACTTCTGCTAACAGTCCCAAGGTTTGAACTCCTGAATTCAGGTGTTCTTGCTGAAAAGCATTCCATCCTGGGCTTTCACTTCCTTTTGCTTTTGAATCATAGTCTGATTCAGCTGACAGTCAGCACACTGAATAAAGTCTATCTGTTTACTCATGCCAAGGCCTGTATAAGGTCCGTGTGAACAAGTCTTGCAGCATAGTAAATCATTAACTGATTTTGTGCTCATTTGAGGGCTTTGTGATAACTGTACAATTATCTTAAGGATCTTTAAGATGGTGATTATGGTGGGCACAATCTAGCTAACGCTAATTTTAACATCTTTAATCTCACACAGTAGAAATTAATATATACAATGAAATAGAACCGAAGCCGTCAGCAATAAGTGCATGGATAAGGTCAAATGTGACTGGGGACGTCCATACTCACAGGCCTTGAGGCCTAGGATTTGCACACAGGATGAACACCCGGATATAGGGAGTACTGAGCCAGTATCCCACCTGCAATGGGTCTGGGAGGTAGGATACTGGCCCAGCTAAATGGCCCAATGAATATTTGATGTGGACATTGGAAATATAATTATATAACATATAATATAATTCCAATGTCCAATTATTTTAGACATAAAATAAACTCTCAAAATATGCATCTAACATATTGTGAAGACAGAAAAAGGTGCTATTATTTATAAGCCCTTTGACTTATTTATCAAGTGTCTGAACTATTTTCTTGCCATGAAGTATTTTTCCATCGTTCTTATACAAGTTGGCATTACCTATAAACCCTCTTGTATGGCTTAAAGCTCTAAAAATAAATACTTCTATCCAAATTACAGGAATAGCCTTAAGCAAAATAATTTTGGGAAGGAGCAGAACGTCAAGTCTACTTCTATTCCAGGTGTTGCCTGAGGAAGAAAAAAGTTCAAGAAAATATAATTTAGCTGGTAAAGCTAGCACCTTAACATAGCCTTTTCAAATGCACTCTTTTAGTAATTTTTTCTCGCATGAATGCCATTTTACATCTTTATTAAAAACAAGTAAATGCTTCCACTGATGGCTCAGCACAAGCCTGTAAAGAGGATTAACCATTATTATTAATACAACTATAATTATACCAACCTATAGGAATTATTCGTACCATAACACAAGTCCTAACTAGTCTCCCAGTTAAACAGTTGGGTAGCCTGTTAGCTCCTACAGAACACCTGGGTGGCTGAAATAAGGAGAAAGACAAGAGAAGTCAGGATTTAGACAAAAAAGTCAGAAGAGGAATACGCAAGCTGAAGGAGCCTTATTCTTTTCTCCATTTACTTTTTCTTTTCTCACTATGTTACATATGATATGATTTTACATGTTAAAAGCATTATAGTTCTACTGCCACAACTGTCACTCACGCTATACCTACCAGCCAGGAGGATACAAGCAGAGGCAGGTACCTAGGCAACAGACACTGCACCTTCTCTATCTTTTCTAATGAATATTCAAAGAAATCACTCCTTCCAATAGTGACACCACATATGTTCTATCCTATTGCCACACCTTTTCACAGATGTTTCAAGCATTACTAGATCTGTGAACTGAAGCTACCTTTCATCTACCATCCTGATGGCCACATTAGAAGGGTCAGAGAACATGACTTCATGTTCATGAAGAGAACATGGGGGGGGAACGGGGGTCAAGGAATGGAGCATGGTGGGGGCAGAG